GCTATAAAAGAGCTGATGATGACGTACGTGTGTTTGTATGTGTTTGTAGTTATGCTTGTATGTTTGTGTTAATGTCTGCACGTATGTTTGTATGTATGTACGTATGTATGTGAAACTTAACAGGTAAACTTATCATGTTTTTACGGTGTTTGCCCAAGGAAAAAGATCAAGAGAATATTGCAAAAATGTTTGTTTCTATGTATATTTGTTTCTATGTATGTATGTATGTATGAATGTATGTATGTATGTATGTATGTATGTATGTATGTATGTATGTATGTATGTATGTATGTATATTTGTTTGTATGTATGTATGTATGTGTGTGTGCTCAATGTATGCTCGTTTTCTTCTTTCAAAAGTTTGCGTATTCACAGGCAAACATAGAAAATTGATATCTGTATGGATATGCCTAAACATATGTAAACATCTTTGTATACACAAAAATACCAAAACATACAAACACACAAAAAATGCACACGTACACGCACAATTAAACACACGCACACACACGCACACATGCATACGTACATAGAAATACGCAAACAAACATTCATTCACAAGTGTTACCCTTTATATTCTTTTAATATTTCATTCATAAGTGGAGGGAAAACAAATATATAAATAAACAATTTATATAGCGCTCTTTCTTTTGTTTCGTTTTTGTAATATTTTCGTTCATTTCTGCTCCTCTTTGACCCTTTCCTTCTCCCCTTCTTACTCTCTTTCTTTCTATCCTTTTTTCTCTCTTTCTTTCTCACACTCACCACCATTCAATTATTTATCTTTCTGTTTGTTTTTCATCTTCTTTTCTATCTGTTTATTCATTCTTTGTCTTTTGCTCATGCATCTCTCTCTCTCTCTCTCTCTCTCTCTCTCCCTCTCCCCCTCTCTTTCTCTTTCTTATTATTTTCCCCAATCCTCATCAGATCATTTCAACATCGTACGACTCACCAGCCAGCTAGCAGAAGAAAGCAGGTGTTAAAAAACTTAACCGACGTTCAAGAGAAGAACAATAA